TTGTCAAATCCATCCCAATCCGCGGGTCATGCGCAAGTACGCCCTCTGTTCCGATGGCCTTAGCAGCAAGAGCACCAGGTTTAGGGTTTTCGGTTCGAATGCGGTCTATCACGTCATGCCTACTCTGGTTCTAGTCATGCAGCTCCAGTCTTGTCACAAGCCTGAGGAGATATCATCAGACTGAACAACTGCAACCTGTACAGTGTGGGAAGCCTCCTTACTCATGTTGACAGTCTTGGGTGCGCCTTGCATTCAGGAGCCCGTATGAGCCATAATCTCCACTCCTAGCACGCCCCTTAAGAACACGTATACTACTCCCCTGTATAATCCCCCACATAACCCGCTTTAAGGAGTTTGGACGATAGCCCATATACAGGTTCCCAGAAAATGTGTTCACTCTCGATGGCTGTTTTGCGCTGAGTTTCCTGATAATATGGACATCCAATGAACAGCTCATCCTACAAGTCTTCCGAAGAAGTGCGCATTGCACAAAGACAGGGCCGTCAAACGCAATTTGACCGTCCCTGTGCCCCGTGAATTGCGGATGAGTCGCACCCAGAAAACGCCGTCGGCGAGAAAGGTCTCGCCCTCGCAGGTTGGGGCAGGTTATATGGGGGATATATAGGGGACATAGGGGGAATATATGAGCAGCGGACGAAAGTCCTTGTTTGGGCAAGGAGCACTATTCCCTATCTCCGGCCCCTGATCTCACTTACTTAAAAAAACTCATAAATGCCATGGTTTTGCTTTTTCTGAATTTAGGGGATCTCGATTAAGTATCATTGTGCTACAATGTTTTATTTTCAACTCATGAAATACCCGGGTCTCGCCTTATCTCCGGCCTCTTCTCGAATTCCTTAGAACGGCTGCTCCCAACAATAAAATACCAACGTCCGTGGCCTTGGTTCTTTTGATGGAACTGTAGGTCGTCGCTCAGATAGGAATAATGGAAAACAACATGGAAACTACTATCTAGGGTTTATAGGGTTTGGAGTTTAGGGCTCGGGTGCAGAGTGAAGCGATATGCAGGCTGTTCGGCCTAGTCTGCTACTTCGATTCGGTTCGAAGCACCTGCGGAGTCCTCGTTCTAATCATTCTCATCTTCTTGTGCGGGTACGGCCTCTATAGCTGGCGGTAGCTGTTTTTCACACATCTGTTCCATCAAAGAAGCCGGAAGCAATATCTGCAACTACGAGAAATTAACAAGTAGCACTTGGCAAGCCGCATACATCATCACACTATCCCTGTAACACCCTGGGGCAAAGCTTGCTTGAAGATCTACTGGTAAATTCTGGGAGGGCGTTGGGAACTTTCTCACGACCAACAACAGCAACAGGGACAGTGCGGAGTACTACAAGAACTTAGAAATACCTTAAGAATCTCCAATATCGGCGAATCAACTGGACAAAACACATCGAAAATGAGGTGGGAACTGGGTCTACGTATGGGGCTACAGACATGTTGTCATGTAGGGCCCTAACTAATTACCCAAATTTCAGGCTGAGGTCTATTTGAAGCACCCTACGCCGTGTTCATACAGAGAGTCTAGGACTGTAATGTAGGTAAACACGGTATTATCCCACTTCTTTTGCAGTTGACTCTCCGTCATTCAATAATGTATGAGTAGTCACAGTCAAGGTTCATGGTTCGTGCCCCTACGGTCGTACCATGAACAGGTTGCCCCGAAAGCGCTTATGTGAACCAATGTGGAACCCGAGCGTGCTGGAGCGCCAAATCGCAGCAGTACATCCTTAAGGGCAAAACCATGGAACCTTTCTATCGTCTTAACCCTGAACCCCTAACCCCTAAACCCTACCCCCTAATTTCCTAACCCCTACATCCCTAACCTCTAAAGACCTAACCCCTACATCCCGAACCCCTAAACCCTATAACCTCTAATCCCTTGAGGCTTCTACACCACCATACACCACACACCAAGCCTTCTGCAACGCTCTCTGGCCCGGCAACCGGAGCTGCTCTAGGCCTGAAGTGCGGGCTTTCGAAACATGGGGGTCCCTGTTGCGGCGCGAAGGCTCTAATTTTCGCAAATTACCATGTGAGCCCCGAAGCTCTAAACCCTCAATCCTAAACCCCTAAACCCTAAACCTCTAAACTAAACCGCTCTTGAACCATAAGCTATGAGGCTCGAGGCTGACTGAGATCCGTCGCAGCAGTCTTGAAAGGTTTTTGTAGGCAATCTACCGGATTCTTTTGTGGCCTGTCTTGCGAAAAAGCTGTCCAGCTACATTAACAACAAGGAAAATAGCTTTTTGTAGCCCCAAGACGACTGCATGAAGCCATGCTCTGGACATTATAACGTTGAACGCCGTGCGTTTTTTCCAAAGCCTTATTTGGATTGATATTGGGTTTATATTAGAGTTATGTTGGGGATATATGAGCCATAGTCTAAACTCCTAGTATCCCCCTTAATGTCCCCTATGGCAGTCCCCTATATAATCCCCTATATAACCCCCCTTTAAGGAGTTTAGCTCATATAGGTACAATGGAAAAGAAAATGGAAGCCACTATGAGCTGTTTGAGTTTAGAGGTGCTGGTCGACTCGCCTTGGCCCTTGCTTGATATAATCCCACTCACAGAAAGGGATGATGGAAAAGAAAATAGAAACTCCTACATAATCATGGGGTCTATATTGGGGTATATGTTGGGGTTCTACTGTATAGCTGCTCATGTACGCACCTGCTTGGCTGCATGCTTGAACCCTGAGGACAGACAACGCCGACCCCTAAACACGCCAAGCCGTTGCGAAGAACAGGCCTCCAGTTTAAGGGTTTATAGGGTTTGTGGTGCAGGTTTCGCGGTTTCAGGGTTAGGGCTTCGGGGCTTAGGGGTCAAGCCTCGACCCCTCAAACGCCGGAGCTGTAAGCGAAACCCATGAGAAATCATTGGTCTTTCCATCATACTTCTTAAGCCAAGTGCCGACGCAAAACATTTCTACACCCCAAATCTAACATAAGGGAAAGCCCGAATAAAAAACATTATACGAAATCATCGTGGAAGTTACCCAGGCCCCTGTGTTATAGTCACCGTGACCACCCAAAAAATCCCAACGCCTAAACTGCGGATGCCCTTCTGCTCTCCGGGGAGCCATTCTACGGGTGTAACTAGCGATAATCCATTATGTGGGTGAGTGGTCCCTAAACGAGGGTCCTGGAGCCCGCACACATACACTGGGGGTACGAGGAAAGAAGCTGCGAGGAAAAGTTTTCTCAACTCCCATGGAAGGGTCAGAATAGGACTTCGCTCCCCCTCAAGCATGAATAAGCCTCACTGAACCCAGAAACCCCAAACCCTAAACCCTAGGCATCAAGAAGTCTGAACCTCGCTTTCAGAGGATGAATGGATTCCCCAAAGTACCCTAAACCCCATAAGGTCTATGACCCTTTGGCATCTGGACTCTCACAGGCTCTGCCGCAAAGTGGCCCGGGGACATGAGCAGATAAAACCCTGTAGCCTCAACCCTTAACCCCTACAGTGGTGACAAAACTCACTCCCCCAACCACCCTAAACCTGAAACCGCGTAAGCCCTGGACTCTAAAGTTGTAGTATATCCCTAAAATAGGTCCCCCTAAACCCCCGTACGTATCCCCTATAGGCCCCCCCAACCTAAATTGAGTCCGTAGCTCACGTCCACGCCATAGTCCCCCCTTAAGTAGATAGAATATGGCTTTGGGTATATTATAATATCACCATATACCCCATATTCTATCTACTTACGGGGGACTATAAAACCTAAAACCACGTAGGCCTGGTTTTGAGAGGATGGGGCATCTTCCGGATAGGATCCGAAATTTCCTCGTCACGACCCGCTTCGTGCCTGCAGGGGCAGGTTTTGGGCTTTGGGTTTAGGGTTCCGGTGTAGGGTTTGTGGGGTTTGGGGGTTTAGGAATTATAGGGGTTTAGGGTTTGAGGCCATAGCTTAGCCAAGAATATTTCGGGAAGTCCTTGTGCACACCTGGCTCTCCCAATGCCTGGTAGCACAATCGGACTGTTCACTGCTAGGGGAGGATGAGGGTTTTCAAGATAAGATAAGGGGAGTGGATTACAAGATGCACCGCGACTAGCAGACGGGAGCGGCGGCTTCCGACCCAGGTGCGTTAAGGGTTTAGGCAGCGGGCTTTATCCTCGACCTTTCTAAGTAGAAAGCGGAAGAAGGCTTCCCCACATCAGTGGAAGGGTTCTGCATCATCCGGCATCAAACCCTAAACTTTAAACCGGAACTCCAAACCCTAGGACCCTAAGCTCTGAAACCCCAACCCGAAACCCTAAACCTGGCCTTGTAACTGAATCTCCCAAAGCTCAAAGCCCGCGGATAACAACTCCTACCCAAAGTCTGAGGTAGACGTCAGGTGGACCCCCCCCCCACTGTAATAGTGACTATACTATACGAGATAATGAGGATTATATGAGGGTCCTCGGGTCCTCTTCTATTCCTAAGAAAACCACGATTACAGGGTCTGGGGTCCTCCTAAGGTAGACGCCCAAGGGCCCCGAGTTCCTGGGCTTCACACCTGACAGCCAACAACCTCAAAGCAGCCCAACATACAGCAACCTCAATTATACCTGAAAAATGGCTTTGCACCTCATAGTTTGGTATTTGTAGTTGTTCGATCTAGGTTACTCTGGGTATCCCTAAACCCCTAAACCCTAAACCCTAAACACCCAAAAAATCCAAAACCTTATCCCAAAAGGGTGGCATCTCGGCGTCCGAGCTCCAAACCTCCCTTGCTGGGGGATGAGGCTGACTCACCCTGAGCCGGAGCATCCTCAAGAGTCACAAGCTGAAGGGTTCAGGGGATATGAGTGGTTGTCAAAATTATGGTCCCTTTTTGGGTACCCTAAATATTAGGTGCCGTATTATAACAGGGACCCAAAAAAGGGACCATAATTTTGACAACCACTCATAATATAGTTTATAAAACCTTAGAGTTTGTTGAATCCTACACTAAGCCCCACACCTTTAAGTGGGCTTCTGGGAACAGGCGACCATCATGGGGGCTTTGGCTGTGGGGCTCCTCCTCGGCAATGCCACTGGACCAAAGTTAGGGCTGCGGGGAGGGCACACGGCATGTGCGATCCTAAGCCCTAGTAGCCATAAGTTGAGTGGCAGCATACTTGCTAGAATCCAGATTTCCTGATGCTTGAAATCGTCAACTAGGTCGAGTTTTTCTGGGGCACTCGCTTGAGGAGTTTTGAGCGCTAAGCTGGAAAACTGAGTTCTGAACCTTAAATCTCAATGCTCCAATTGCAATCAGTGCCACTGCCTCAAACCATCCTGGTCGTGCAGAGACGTCTGATTAGAAATCCCAGTCTTAGACCCTAAACCTAAACCCTAACCCTCAGTCATAAAACCTAAGCCCTAGACCCGCTTTTGTGCCAAGCTAAAGAAGGACCGTGTTGTGGTGCTTTCTGCTTTCCTGCAGATCCCTCAGCGCTCTGGGAGTTGTGGGTTTGTTGCCGGCCCGACCGAAGCCCTAACCTTTTTGACCCTAAAGCTTAAACCCTGAACCCTAGACCCTTAAAACAGCAAACCCTAAAATGAACCCTAAACCCTCAAACTCTAACCCCTAAACCCAACACCGGGCCCAGGTTAGCGAGCGAATCTTCGCTAATCAGTGGCACAATGAACTGTTCGCACACCTGCCTAATGAGGTCGGGGCTTTTTGTGGATTGGGATTAAGGTTTAGGGATTAGGGTTTAGGAGTTAGTGTTTAGGGACTAGGGGCCCTAGGGGTTCAGGTTTAGGCACTAAGGTTTAGGGTTCAGAGACAGCCTGGAGGATGGCAGTTTCTTTGAGGCTAAAGGCCTCAGTTAAGGCGTGGTTTGAGTCGGATTACAAATGCGACATGTATCCTTGAGCCAATGTGTCGAGATTTGTTTCAAAAATGGCTGAAACCTCACGGCGTGCTCTGGCGCAATGGCCAAGAATGGCCAACGATACCGTAGACTACACCCATGAATCTCTGTGGAACATTTTTGGGTATCCCACGAACTTCGGGGTTCGGAGTTTTGTAGCCTGCCTCAAAGTGCTTCCTGATGCGGATTCCGCTGTCTTTTGGCGGACCGCATGTTCAAGCCGGTGGGAGTGCTTTGAGGTCTGGGGCTCGGGGTAGGGTTTAGGGTTTAGGGTTTAGGGTTTAGGGTTTAGGGGTGGAGTAGTGTTGTCCGTGCAAGAAGCACATGTTCAGTGTCCTGCACCTAGGCATGAAAACCCTCTCCCCAGGGTGCTATGATAGGCTTCATCTGTTTTGCAGGTCAAGACGGGAGATCCTCGCATGCCCTTCTTCGGTGGCTGGGACAGCAATACCAAACTGCTCAAATTTTGCGCGACGTTTGTGCAATGTATATACTATAGTAGTTTCCATTTCATTTTCCATTATCCCTATATAACCCCTATATACTATGGTAGTTTTCATTTCCTTTTCCATTATCCCTATATAATCCCCTTATATAATCCCCTATAGTAAACAGGAGAAGGTTGTAGAAGCTTCAGCTTGGCTCGTTGGCAAATTCTTCCCTTCATACCTGGGAGTTCCTTTAAATATGAGCCATAGTCTGAACCCTTAAAGGGGGTTATATAGGGGATTATACTATAGGGGTTATTAAGGGGGATACTATGGGTCTCTTTTTGGGTCCCTTGTACTCGGATCCTGGCAATTGGGGTTAATCTGGACGAGACAACCAGGTGGCTGGGACAATAACACCTGGATCCTCGCTGGCTGCTGCGATATTCCTGGCAATCATTTTCATATAGGGCCCCTAAATCAATGGGTTCTTAAACAGGGAGCCCAACATAAACCCCCCAAATATTGTAACCCTCATTCTTGGGACGCCCAGAACTCTCAATTTCGGAAAACCCCCACATCTATTCCAGGCTGCCTGATCCTCAACAATTTTCTCGTTGCTGACCAGATGAGGAACCTCACGTCCATTGCCAAGCCGCCCGTTCAGGTTGAAGGGTCTGGGGAGTTTCGGTTTTCAATTGCATGGGCGTTCTGAGGGGGAGTTTAAGGAGTAGGGTTTTGGGAGCAGGATTTTGATTTTCAGACGGGGGTTTAGGGAGTAGGATTTGGGGTTTGGGGTTCTGGTTTAGGGTTTGCGGACGAGGGGCCAGTGGAAGCCTCTCCCGTCGAACGCCAACGGCCTAGCATGGGCTCAAAAGCGATAAGGGAATGGATCAGGGGTTTAGGGGAGGCCATTAATTCATTTGGACTCAGTTCATTCTTGTCCCATGTCCGGACACAAGCTGCTTCGACTATTGCTTGTCCCTCTTTCCAATGTCTATCAGCGCCAGGGTCATTGTACCCTAATGCTCCATAAGCCACCTGCTTCCACTTCCTTCAGGTCCCGGCCCATCAAAAGGCGAGGGCTGAAAAGGCAAGGGTGGAAAAGGAGGGGGCCTCCAGTTCAGCATTTTCGCATAACTTGTAGACAAGGATACGCCAATCAAAGGCTATGTCACCACATGTGGCGCGTGAGTGTGTGTGCTTTGTTATTCCTAATTCGCGTGCAACACCATAAGATGGTAGACCCCAACCGGCGGGAAGTTCACTTCCTAACCCGGAAGTCCCAAGCCCAAGGCCTGAGGTCGATTGATCATGGACCATGTGAGCCTTATTATCTTCACGTTCACAATCTAGGACCCATCGGGCGCATACGTGCAGCTCATTTGTAGTAGAAGTGAACCTGAACCCGTCTTGTTACAGAACGCCTACGGAATCTCCCGGCTCAGGTATGTGGCCTATGCCATCGGGTTGCTACGCTGAAATCCTTAGCCCTGAGCCCTGAGCCCTGCCTAAACCCTAAGCCCTAAATCTGCAAAACAAAAATCTGTACCCCCCAAGGAGGTTTCGGGCAGATACTTCGGAACCGAAACTCAGGGACTTTGCATACTAAGGGTGGAGGTAGGGCGTCTGAAGGTTGAGCTTTTTCATGACTCAGGGTAAGGACGAGTCCCTAAACCCATATTTAGGCCCCTGAATCCTAAACCCTAGGGCGCTCAATCCACATTTAAGCCCCTAAATCCTAGACCTTAAACCATTAAAGCCATATTTAGACCCCTGAGTCCTAAGCCCTAAGCCCTAAACTGTACTGAGCTTAGGTGGTTTCACAGGGCATTGGGCGCACAGGGCTCATCATTTTGCATGTGCAAGCTGCAGCTGGGGGAATCTTTTGGCCCTGGTTCGGCCTAACGGCTTTGTTGCCAAGAGGGATCTCAATGCTGGATGTCAAGTTGTCTGTTTGCTTTGGGTCGCATCCTACAGTCCGCATTACACTGAAAGATTAGACTCGCCTTTTGGTTCTGGCCGTTTGTCAAAGGAATATCTAGTCACTCTTGGCTCAACAACTACTAAATAGCTGCTCGGATGGAGGCTTGACGCCTTAAGCCCTAAACGTTCGCCGTAAATCAACAGCTGAGTGGCTTCTCCCCTCGGTAGCAGCATGTGGTAAGAAGCGCAAAATCTTACTTGGCCCAACCACTCAAGATCATTCAAGAACCAAATTCCATTTAAGAAGCCCCAAGCCAAAAGACCCAAACCCTGAACTCCAAACCCTAAATCCTTAGCTCAATTGAGCCCTAAGCCCTGAACCCTAAGCCCTAAACCCAAAGCCCCGAGCCCTCACCTCTAAGCCCTCAACCCTAAACCCTGAGGCCGAACCCCTAAGCCTTGAACCATAAGCCCTAAGACTCTCAAGCTTGAAGCCATAGAGGCCTAAGCCCTACACCCTACACCCTAAGCGCTAAACCCTACACCCTAAGCGCTAAACCCTAAACCCTAAACCCCTGGGTAGGCACCTTTTTTATTTTCCCTAATGGCTTCAATAAGGAACCCTATATACTAATCAAAGAGTTTTAGGGGCCAACCCAGACCCCAAACCCTAAAGCTCAGGCTGGTGTTGAGCTACCTCGTGCAACTGGCAGAGGGCCGCACCTTTTGCCCTTGGCAGGCCCAGACCTAGGGTTTAGGGTTTAGGGTTCAGGGTTCAGGATTTAGGGTTTCTTTTTCAAAAGGTTTAGGTTATGGGGCCTTAGGGCTTAGGGAGTAGGACGTTGGTATTACTATTCTTAAGCTGTAAAGCGTTTAGGTTGTAGGTCTAGGGTCCAGAGTGCTTGGGGGTCTTTGGGTTCGGGGATTTTGCGTTTCAGGGTTTCAGTCAGTTTTTCGGGGCTTAGGTTTACGGTTCAGGTTTTAGGGTATTAAGGTTCAGTTTTCAGACTTTTAGGATCTGGGGCGGGGCTCCCTAAAATCGGCCCAGGTCGTTTTCATGGGGCCGAGGGGCCCTCAATTTGGAGAGTTGTTTGTTTTTTCGAGATTAGAGAGGTGGATTATGCAGGTTACGTTTAGGTTCTATCTTAATTCGGGACTGGGCAGGCCTCCAAAGCAGCCAAAGTACCTTCAGTTTAGGGCTGAAGGTTGTTGTGGTGCTTACTTGGGGGGGTTCAAGATGTGTTCAAGACATGAAGATATTTCTTATGCCGCGGTTTGGTGACACCGGCCTAGTGCCCTTTTCAACACACCCTTTGTCCAAAATTTTCAAACCGTAAGCCATGGGCCTTGAATGACCTAAAGTTGCCTTAAATCCTAAAATCCTAAACACTAAACCCCTAAACCTTAAAGTTGGATTAAATCCCTAGAATCCTAAATGGAAAAATGCAGGCCTGCTCCTACTGCGGCCTGGCCCTGGCAGCCATAGCTCCTCTGCTGAGTTGGTTCCATTCTGTCTAGGGTTTTTAGGGTTTAGGGGTTTAGGGTTTAGGGGTTCAGGGTTTAGGGTTAGGGTTTTTAGAGCCAGATTGGGGTTAAGGTTTAGGGTTAGGGTTTAGAGCCAGAATCTCAGGGTTTAGGTTTAGGGTTTAGAGTAAGGGTTAGGGTTCAGAGCCAGAATTTTAGGGTTTAGGGATGGGGTTTAGAGCCAGAATCTTTAGGGTTTAGGGTGAGGGTTTAGAGCCAGAATCTTACGGTTGATATTAGGTCAGTCCCATCTGTAGTACTAGTTCCCTATCCTGGAATCTGGAGCCACAATCTTAGGGTTTAGGGTTGGGGTTTAGAGCCAGAATCTTGGGGTTTAGGTTTAGGGTTAGGGTTTAAAGCCAGGATCTCAGGGTTTAGGTTTAGGGTTAGGGTTTAAAGCCAGAATCTTAGGGTTCAGGCTTAGGGTTTAGAGCCAGAATCTTGGGGTTAAGGTTTAGGGTTAGGTTTAGAGCCAGAATTTTAGGGTTTAGGTTTAGGGTTAGGGTTTAGAGTAAGAATCTTAGGGTTAATGTTAGGTCAATCCCCCTGTAGTAATAGCTCTTTAACATGGAATTAATAGGGCCTTAATATACCTACAATAGTCCCTTGTGGTGGGTTGGGAATTGACCCAAGGTTTAGAGGGTTTAGGGTTGAGGGTTGAAGGGGGTATCGGGTCTAGGGATGTAAGGTTTTCGGGTTGAGAGATTTCGGGGCCTTAGGGAGGCCTTTGAGGCTGTCACAGCACCGGTTTTTTTGGGCTTTAGGTTTGACGTTTCGGGCTTCGGGAGTTAAGATTTAGCGTTTAGAGTGTTGGGGCTCGGTAAGTTTCGGTTTAGGGCCGACTACCTGAAAGACTGGGGAAATGCTTTCTGCCAGCCTATTCCTAAAAAGAGATATACATATATATATATGCATATGCTCCAGGCTTACATTGCGCTGCCGGGGCCTGGCTCCTTCGGCCCGGGAAGGAAGAGCTGAAAAACCGGAATTCATCCAATATAGGGGCCTAAATAAGTACCAACATTATGGTTCCAAATTGCTTAGGGTTTAGGGTTTAGGGTTTAAGGAATAATTTCCAATATTATGGTTCCATATTCCTTAGGGTTTAGGGTTTAGGGAATAATTTCCAATATTATGGTTCCATATTCCTTAGGGTTTAGGGTTTGGGAAACAATTACCAATATTATGGTTCCATATTCCGTAGGGCTTAGGGTTTAGGGAATAATTTCCAATATTATGGTTCCATATTCCTTAGGGTTTAGGGTTTAGGGATAATTACCAATATTATGCTTCCATATTCCTTGTATAATTGTAGCAAAGGGTACTTCAAATAGTATTCAAAATTATTTTGGTAATTATTTAGGCCCCTGTATCGGGGCTCTCAACGCTGGTCTCGTAGCGTCTGCCATGTTGGGATGTTCCTATGGCAATAGTTTTCCTAAGCCCTAAGGTATTGCAAGAAAAGTTTCGGAGTCCTAAAATTTAAGTCCTAAACCCTCAACCCCAATAAGTCCTAGAATTATTTAGGGTTCCCTGAAAGAGGCTGTAGAGTGGTTGTAGAGAGTACATAGGGATGTATTGTAGTTTGTTGGTTTTGGGTTTCCGGAATTTAGGTGTCCATGGCTGGGATGTGCGTAAAACAAGTGTTAGGGTTTCAGATTTCAGGTTTAGGTTTTGGGTTAAGGACCTTAGTAGTTAAGGATCATAGTAGTGTGGGGTATGCAGGAGGGGAACACCAGCTTTTGATTTCATTGTTGCCACGTCAATCCGGAGCTCTAAGCCATAACGCCCTGAAGAACCACCTGAACCCCAACAAATCCACAAAAAGAACAGTAAGGACCTAAATAAAAACAATTACCAGTGGTGCTGTCCTGGTACAGGGTTTAGGGTTTAGAGTGTAACCATGTAGGACCCTGTACTAATCATTTCCAAGCCAATTCAGGGAGCATTGGGGAGTATAATCCAGGCGTCATGGAGAGACCCTACGATGATTTGTGGAAGCACGGCGTACCTAGAGCTGTTTTGGGCTTTTGGATCTTAAAAGAGAATACCTGTCCCTTTTAGATATTTATTCGTTGTATTCTGCTTGATGCTTTGGGAAACCTTAAACTCTAAACCCCAAATCCTAATTATGACTGCCGTGCCTTCGCCGCGACGGCTCTCGCACGCATATGCGAAGCCTGCAAGCTAGCGAGCCCAGGTGGCAAGTTGTCAAAGTTATGATCCATTGGGGCCCAACACCTGAACCCTAATAGGGGCACCGACTTTTTCTTTTGAGGGGAAATCCCCTCTTGGGACCAGGATGTGACCATACCTTTGACAACCAGTCAGGTGGTGTTTGATCTTCCAGACATGCGCCGGTAGTCGTCAAGCAGGTGCCCATAATTTCTATTGCAATCGGTGATGGAGGAACCCCTGCAGCATGCCTACTACCGCGAGTCCTAGGATCAGTTATCTGGGGTCATGCAGGATCATTACTTTTAGATGCGTGTAGTCGCATTGTCATGTTCGTGGGAAAATGTCCGGGCTGAGAAATACCGGCATGCTAGCGCATCGCAATCGAAAGGGTAGCCTGTTCTGGCAACTGCACCGGTGGACCGTTTAAGCAAGGAGCCAGGGGCAGTTGAGAGGATTCAACAAACAAGCTGGACAGCAACATGGCCATCGGGCAGAAGTAGAGTGCCTAAAGCCTGAGCTCATAAGCGCTAGACCCTAAATCCTAGACCCTATGCCTTACATTTCCTTAAACGGTAAACCCATTTCGGATTAGTTCTCCTTGCGCAACGTGTGCGGCTTTGTAGTGACCTCCTGACGCCAGGGTTCACGGCTTATGATGTAGGGTTTATAGTCCCCCTTAAGTAGATAGAATCTGGGGTATATGGGGATCTTATTATAAATATACCCAAAACCATATTCTATCTACTTAAGGGGGACTACATTATCTTGGGTTCCTGGACCTGTTCAGGCATGGCTTAGCTAGGGCTGTCGGTCAGAAACATGCTGCCAGAATCATGGCCATTGATTGTGTCGGAATTTCTATAAAAAGGGACGTCAACATGTCCTGTAGACCTCATAGTACAGACTCCCCACAAAAGGAACCCTCGTTCCTTGGAACGCCTGATTCTAGAGGCCTTGGTTTCCAGGCACCTCCCTCAACTCTAACTGTCACTCCTTGCCCCATTGGGAGTTTCCACAAAATATCAATCTTGGGGGGGGGCCTTACAATCGCTGCATTGCCGCTGTTTATCGCTTCGGTCCCGCATGTGGGTATCCCCATGTTGGAAACCTCCTACCATTTTGCCAGGGAGGGTTTAGTTCTAGGGTGCATCTAGGTCGCTTTGCAGTAGCTTCCTTCATACGCGTCTCGTTAGGGGGTTGATTTTTCTCCTGTAACCAATTGTGGGCACTTTGAAGGTCAGACGAAAAACCCTAAAGCCTAAACCCTAAGCCCTAATCCCTAAACCCTAAACCCTATCACCTGAAGTTTAGGGCCATGACTTTACCCTAAGGGTCCATGTGCCCAATATTTTTTTCACTTACGCCCAGTGCTTCTTGCCCTGGCAGAGCCAGAGGCATCCGTGGTAGTCAGTAGCCTAGCTGGAATGAAGGAAGGAATCTTTAGGAGGGTTGGGTTTAGGGTTTAGGATTTAGGGTTTAGGGTTTAGGGTTTAGGGATTTTAGGAGGGTTGGCTATCAAAGTGAGTGCTTGGCAGGTAGCAGACTTTAGGGTTGAAGGTTTACATGTCAGCGCCTGAGGGTGACATGACTGATTGAGATTCTGGTTGGGGTTGCGAGATTACAATGCAGCCCAGAAATGGTCTCTTTAAAGGTCAGTTGCAGTAGTATCTTCAGGACCCCCCCCCTCCTGGGGGTTTATGGTCGTGTGGAGGACGCTAAAGAGAACATGCAGATCAAGACATCCTTTGCAAGGTTCTTTTTAAGGGATATAGGTGCAGTGCACTGTCTATGATTTCGAAAAGAGCTTAATACCCTAAACCCAAACCCTTAAACCCCCAACCCTCGACCCTAGACCCTAAATCCTAAACCCTAAACCCCCAGACCCTAGACCCTAAACCCTAAACCCCCAACCCTAAACCCTAGACCCTAAACCCCCAACCCTTTTCGTTCCTTCACTTCCAAGTGACTACCAGGGAATAGTGCCCGAGCCTGACACCTTGGTCAGACGTTGGCGACTTTGGCCTTCATAAGGCAACCTTCAACTGGGTTGCTGTTAAGGAACTTAAATTAAGTTACCATATATATAGGGATAATGGAAAAGAAAATGGAAACTACTATAATGGGGTTATTTAGGGTTTAGGGTTTAGGGTTTAGGGTTACCATAATGGGTATATATAGTAAATAATAGGGTTTCAACAATATAGTAACTTAATTTAAGCTCCTTAACAGCAACCCAGTCAAGGGCCATGGCTGGGCTGCTGTGACGGAATTTAGATTAAGGTAACATAATATGAGCTATAGTCTGAAGTCATTCAACGGGGTTATAAGGGGTGGAGTATATAGTGGAGTATTAAAGGGGTGATTGAGGGGGATGCTAGGAGTTTAGACTATGGCTCATATGGGTATGTGGTAAATAATACGGCTCCCTTGTTATAGGAACTTAGTTTAAGTTCCTTCACAGCAACCCAGATTAGGAGGGGCACGGAGAAGGGGCCCCTAGGATTGCTATATATATATATATATACAAACCGACATGGTGCTTATATGCCCTTTGTAGAACCAGGTAGTCCTCATTCCTCATCTTACCGTCCATGTGCCCCTCCTGAAGCCCCAAGATGCCTGCAGGGACTGGAGTTGGAGTGGAGGGTTCCAGGCTTACATAGGGTTTAGGGTTTAGGCATTTAGGGTTTAGGGTCGAGGGGTTTCAGGGATTTAGGGTTTAGGGTTTAGGGGGGTTTGGAATTTAGGGTTTGAGGTTTAGGATGTGGGGTTCGGGGCTTAGGCTCCTCATGTGGGGGTCTCAACGCCCTAGGGCGCACGAAGGGGTCCTCCGTCAGTTTGGGCGCACTCAATGTGCTGGAGGGCATGAACAAGAAGCCGCCCACTCCCAAGGACCGTGCCCGCGGCCAGTGGTGCCCAGACGTTTCCTGATCGGTGCAGGAGCTCCGCAATGAGCTGGCCCTTCGCATGGACGTGGCCCCACGCACTGTGGGAGCACACAGAAGCGATCAGCACCTTGACAAAGAGCTTGCTGATGGAGGCATGCATCTGCCCAATTTTTCCCAAGACCAAACCTCCTGCTGATTGCAGGTCCTCTCGCTGGAGACAGTGCAGCAGGCACACGCTACCATGCCGAAAGAAGGGCGCCGCGTCCCTCCAGGCGAGGATGCCGCGTGCGTGCCTTCAGCTTCTTCGTGGCATGTATAAGCACCGGCTTTGGGGCCAATGATAAGGCAGAGGAATTGAGGGCTGCCCCCTTCAAACTCCATCGCTGCAGCATGCCTGCTTGCCGAGCGATCATGGCAGCTCAAGCCGCACTTCAGCTATCAGCGCAACTCCCACCCATTTTGAATGTAGGTCATGGAGTCATGGAGGTCACCCCTAGTATCTTCTTGTTGGGCAACATGCAGGCATACGCCATGCATGACCACAAAATGATTGCACAGGATCAACAATGTGGTGGAGAGCACGGCATATCGCTCCGCCGCGACTTGCGCATGCTATCCCTGGTCCGTTCATGGGGCGGCCTTGCCTGGCACCCCGAGGGACCCCTCGCCCTGGTGGACTACTGTGCCTCGGTGGGTTTCGGCGGAGGGGCTGCGCTGTGGGAGACGGCCCACGAGGATGCTCTTGCAGCTGGGTGCGTCTGGATCTTAACCAAGAAAAGGCGGCTGCTTGCACCAAACTTGCCGCTCAGCGTATCCACGAAGGTCTACGGCCTGCTGGTCTCCCTCATGGACGCTGAGTCCTTCTGGGAGAAGCAGGGCTTCGAGACGCTGGACCCGGACGTGGACCACCCG